GTATAATACTTCAATTATTTAGGAATATACAAACCAGAATTTCATTGTCTAAAAAAATACTCCAATCATTTGAAAACTAAGATAGATCACACAAAAAGTTGTTTCTTCAATAAGTGGTTCCAAGTCCAGTGGATAAAACCTGGCTAGGAGTCAGTAAGTCAATAAGAATACGCCAAATGACTAAAGAACTTCCTAGTCTCTAACTATTGATAAATAAGGGTCTGCTGGTGCCTACTACATTAAAATGTTGGGAAGTTCACAAATTCACAAATTGACCTAATCTTTTCCCACAAGAACCCTCAACTAAGTGAAAATTAAATTATTGGTTCCTTGGAATCCCCTCCTGCCACCTTTAAGCTTTTCAAAGGAGAACAATTTTATATTGCCTCTCTTAACTTCCCACTGGAAAACTTTTCTTCAAGAATTTAAAGGAAAAGAAAAAAAAAAAAGAATTGCCTTCTGAGAATTTCATCCCCTGACTTCATTTGGTATTACTGGGAATGCTGCCAGAGGAAAGAGCTTTGTATGCTGCTGGAAGATTATTTATCGGTGAGCATCTTCCCTAATTTGGATGATCTATTATTTGAGAGCACATATTTAAAAAAAAAAAAAAGAAGAAGAGGAAGATCATCCAGAAAGCTGTGAGTGAGATGACAAATTATGTCAGAGAATTATTGAGAACAGAGTAAATAAATCAATTTGAATTAAATTCTTGCTGAGCCTGAAGAGTCATATGCAATAAAGTGTTGGAATTTACTTGAAGCAAGATAAGCACTTTCCTATATAATAAGTATTTTATATGAAAGGTACATCTTCTTATCTATAATAATGCACATATAATTTTGGAGGACTACATCAAATTTGAGAAAATCTCTTATTTGGTAAGGTAAGCACATGGGGGAAAACCAGGAGAAGCTTAACTCTATCCTGATAATAATTAATGCCCTCATTACAAGCTGATTATTTTTTATCCTCTGAGCTAAAGCTGACTTGAAATAAAACTATATGCTTCTTGAAGGCCAAAGTTGTTCAGTTCATTTTTGACTCCTAAAAGGCTAAAAAAGTGCCTGGCATATATTGGTGTTTTTTGAATCAAAGTAAAATGAAATTTGTCTTGCAGGCTACTCAGTGACAGCTGCGGCAGGCTCAGCCTTCTAACTAGGCATTTCTTGATGCTCAGACACCAAGCCAGTCCCCTTTTTTAGCTATCGGAAAAACAGTTACTCCATATAGTTTCCACTGTTGAAGATTTCCACCATCACACCCTCAAGTTTATGCCTCCTTTCTATCAAGGTAACTGAAGTCATTAGGCTCATAGTATTTCTTTCATGTTATGCTATTTATCCCTATTTCTTTTCTCTTGTTCTGGTATAGATGTCTCTGCTTTCTTTCCAAAGCTTCTTCATTCGTGCTTTTTGATGGATTTGCCCAGTAGTGCATTTGAGAACATGAGCTGTTTTCCTGAATTAGGGTCAATGGCGGGGTTTGGAGTGGGGACTGATGGAGCGTGAGAAAAACACAAAAACAGGTACCAAAAGGGCCACTTTGGAAGAAAATATCTCTCCTTCCCTAAACCACACTATTTTCTCAATTCTTAAACAGGTTGCCATTGAGAATTTTCAGTGTTTTCTTCTCTACACTGATTCTTTTTCTTTGCTATTAATAATTATTGGCACACATCTCACCTTTGCATAAAAAGAAATGTCAGTCCCTTCTGCTGCCATCTCTTTCTTAATCCTACCTTTCCTTTAAAACAAAACTCTTCCGAGAGAGTCTTCTACTGTCTTACACTATTCTCTTCTTAATTTCTCTATTCTGCTTTCCACCACTTCTTGATCAAAACTGCATTCTCAAAGTTCACTAATGCCTGCTAATCACTAAATCCAAAGGCATTTTCCATGTTTTTTGCTTTCCTGAACTTTAGTTTGTGGTCTCAGCCCTGTTCTTGGTGTAACTTGATAGTACACTACTTTCAATTCTGAATTACTTCTCCTTCAGCTGGTCTCCAGTGAGACCGTGTGCATGTTTTAATTCTCTCCCAGACTCCTCCCAGCCCTTACAGTGAGCCTTCTCCAAGAATCACCCTTTCTTCTGTTTTTCTCTTTTAATATTCTTCTGGGATCTATCTCCTGATGTAGGTCAATTATCACATGTATGATTAGCATTCTCAAATTGACATCCTCTGTTTTAATCTGGCAACAGAGCACCAGCACAGTACCTCAAGCATTTGTCTGAAATTCCCTTTTGGGATTGCTATCTTCACTTCTCACTTAACACTCCTAACATTAAACTCATCATCGTCCCTGTAAACTGATCTGTGTTAATGGCATGAATTCTTCAAGTACTGGATTTCAAACTCCTGACCCTCTTTACTTCCTTTTCATATCTAATCAACAATGTATGACATTCCCTGGATCCTTCCTTCACAGTAGTTTCTGCAAGAGTCCCTAGCCAATAAGTGTTTGCAAAGCAGTTATAAGGAAAATTCACACATATCCAAGCATGTCCCACACTCTGCCAGTTCAGACTTTTATTCAAGCTTTTCCCTTTCTCTCTCCGCACTTCTGAAACCCTACTCAATCTTGAAGGCTCACCTCAGATATCATCAACTCCAAGAAATATTTCCCAGTTCTACTAGGAATAAATAAATATTCTGTCCTACCTCAACTCCTATCACACTTTGTTTATAGATTTAATTTTACACTTCCCATCTGCTTATATGCAAATCACCTATTCAAGCACTGCTCTATTTCCAACCATAACTTGAGAGCTCTTGGAACGCGCTAACTTTATCATTCAGTTTTTCTTCAGAGTTAGACCTACCACAGTGCTCTACCCATAGTAAGTCCTTAAAAACCTGGCTTCAATTAAACTGAGATGCAATATGAGTGAGGCCTTGGAGGATTAGTAAAATATTAAGAGATCTGTGTTCCAATAGAGTCTGTCTGAGAGTCCTTTCAAATGGCTAAAAGGCTTTAGACATATTTTTCAAGGAAATAATAGCAAAATAAGAAGGGATCAATGATCTAAAACATAAATACAGCATCTTTTTCTCCCCTCAGTGGAGAATTAGAATTAGATTAAGAGGTTATTACTTAATATTTAATTTGTTTATCTGATTTCTAAAGAATAACATATTTGTTGTGGTTGTCATTGTTTTTATTTTTTGGTGTGTGTTGTTGCTTTTTACCTTGGCAAATTTTTATCTGAACTGAGGAATCAAAGTGAGACAAAGGTGTACTACATTTAGAACACTTATTTAGCTAGTTGAGAGGTCCAAGAAAGACAATGATGCTGATAATGGTAATTTATGCAAGAACGTTCTCATGCCATTGCTTTTCAGAACCATCTCAAGCTTTCAAATACAATCAGACTTTATTGATGAAAATATTTTGTGTGTGTATGTGAAATTCTTAAGTTTTCTAGCTATATGCATTATCTGGAATTTTAAAAAGTTTTCATTCTGGGTTTTTTATGTTTAAAGTTAACACAAACAATGTTGTGCTTTTATGATATTTATTTTCAATCCAAACCTGAAGCTAAATTATATCCAAATAGGTCACATGGGGAGTAAATAATACATATTTTAAACAAAATTTTTTTTATATAACACCATATTACTTTGAAGGGACACGTCCTCATCAAGTTGCTTGGCATATTTTGAATATCAAAATGTCTTTGGTGGCAATCATCAGAAACATGGAGCTTCTTACTTGTGCTCATCGTTACTTTTCATTAGTGTAGAAGCACAAAGAATTGACCATATGTTAATTTCATCATTCCATTACTGACCTTGCAGCGAATTCTGATGTAAAACATTACAGATGTGTACAGAGGGAGAATTGCCAGAGAAAATGGAGAAGCAGAAGTGAGAGTGAGGGAAAACAAGACATAAATTCTTTTGGATAGTCCTAATTTAAATTGGACAGGTTTATATTATTTACTAATCCAATTGATAAAGGACAAAAATCAAGCCCCAGCTATTAAAATCTCAAGTAAAAACAACTGACTGACTTGGTTGTGTTTTCCAAGTGACCTAAATTAAAGTCATCCATGCAAACTTAATGACAGCACAGGTCCACGTCAGCTTTGTAAAACACTTGGGAGAACCTCGTATTCCACAAGGAACTTTCATCGACTGTACCGCACATTCAACTCCCTTTCTTTTAACCACGTTTTTTAGTGGCAAATAGAAAATATGAGCAGCAGAGGTAAAAATGTTCCACCCACTTAATTTCTATTTGGCATGTTTACAGTCAGGTAAACACAGGCTGTTACGAGATAAACGATTTTTGTATTTCTTCACAAAATAACCTAGGAGGAGAGAGAATTTTGTTAGAGTAAAAGTCAGCCTTTATTCTGTCAGGCAAAGTAATTATGGAAGCAAAACAAATCCACATTGTCTAATTAGGTCATTAAAAGGCATAAATGCGTCATGGAAGCTTTTCTCCTTGCCTAAGACATAAAGTAAGACAATGAAAACAGCCTGGTAATATAGAAAGGTTTAGAATTTGTTTCTCTTCAAAAATAATAGGTCCTTTCATCTTTCTATTTCCCTAAGACAAAGAGAGTTAATTTAGAGACAAAATCTGTAATTAGTTCAGGGTTTAGTCTGATTATATTTCAAAATATTTAACCAAAAACAGGAAGATAGAGAAAAGAAGAAAATACATAGAAAAATTATCAAAGGAATTGAATAAAATCAAGAGAGTGGGTTGCTGATCAAAATATATTCTGCAGAGACAAGATGAACATAAAATCTACTTTCATATAAACACAAGCAATCTGGGATACCAGAAAGCTCTTAGGAGGAATATACTGGCATCTGCCTTTGGGATTTGAAAGCAGACTTTAATTACAGTGAACTTAAATAAAAACAAATGGCATGATTACTTTGCCTATTCCTCTCTCTACTTCTTATTATTTCTTGAATTTTAGAAAACTCATGGCTCAAAGTGTTAAGAAACAAAATACAAAAGAGGAAAGGAAAAGAAACTTACCTGTGATCCTCTTGGCCCCCGTTTGTGGTCCCATTCTGAATGCCCCATGAGCTGTAAGATAATATAATAATTACATTAAATTAAAAGATACTTATTTTACATGGCAAATATTTTTACTCTTTCTTTTAAATAATAATTAGGCTTGTGAAACCTACGTTTTAACAGTAAGGTATTAAATAGCTATCATGAATAAACTGACATTTCTGAAGTAATAAACTTCTGGTTTGATAGTTAATATTTCAACTGCTTAGTTGTTTTCAAGATATTTTAATATCACTGTGTGACAAAAAGAGTCTGCTAATGTGTAGCTTTACAGATCTCTGTCAGGAACATCCTAGATACGTGTTAAACCATGTTAAGCTTTATTTGCATACCATTAAGCTTCTAGCTTATTAAGAAAATAAGCTGAAGAATTCATTAGTGTAGCTTAATCTACTATCACGAACAATAAGAACCAGAAAGTCAAAATATTTCAATCATTTTTAATTCTGTTTTGATACTATCACAAAAATATGAGAGTTCTAAGGAGCAAAATTATTTAATGTGGAATGTGCCCCCAAAGTCACAAAATGCAGATTTTCATAAAAAACAGACTGCAAAACATTATCAAGTTATTCCCATATTTGTAATAGCCCTAAGCTACTTTGCTTACAAAGTATGATATTTATTTATTGAAAGTAACATTTATCTAGAACAACATTGAGAAAATACAGGATATCAACTGAGAGGAATAAAATTCCATTCATCTGTCCAGTATGCACACTACCCATGTGAACTAACGTAAGAACTCCTTATCAGTAATAAGCTAGCATACTAACAAGATAGACAATACAACATATATATATTCATTTTCAGTTTTCTATACAACAATGACTCCTTAGTATATATAACAACAAAACAAACCGTTCACCATAGCTACAAAAAAGTAATATACTTTTGAACATTATCAAGAAATGTTTGATATCACATACAGAAAAAGATAAAACTTTACTGATGGACATACAATGCTCCTGGTTAAGATGACTGAATTCTATAAAATTATTAACTGTTCAGTTCTACCCAAACACATTTACAGGTTTAACTCAACTTCAATCAAAAGTTGTTAGCATTTTTTTAAAGAAATTGAAAAAACAAGAACCTAAATTTTATGAGAGAATAAATTTATAAGAATCAGAAAATACTGGAAGAAATGAAAATACCCTTATGGTTATTAAAATATATTATAAAATTTAACCCAAATTATGGGATCATGATTTAAGACTCAAAATATAAGTGAATGAGATGTAGTGGACAGTTTTGAAATAAACTCAAGTACATGTAGAACAAAATATGGAAAAGAAAATACAAAAATTGACGTATTTGGTGAATTACTCAACAAGGAAAAAAAAGAGAAATAGATTCTTTGTAAAAAACATTAGAGCTGAACCTTATAATTAACATAAATATAAGATAGATAAAAATACTTAAATTTTTAAAAAATGAAACTATGTATGAAAGAGAATAAAATCCAAGCAAATATTTAGACTACCTTGGAATGTAAAAAGATTTTCCAACTTAGAAAAAAACAACAATGGAGGATCAATGGATCCAGCTACATAAAATCTTCAAATGTCTGCACAAACGTTACACTGGCAAAATATCTACAGTAAATGTAGGTAAAGAATAATTTCTTAAGTACACTAAGAGCTCTACAAATTGAAAGAAACATAACCCTAGTAAATGACTGAAGGAAAGCATAAGAACAATTTACAGAAAAAGTATCAATAGTCAATAGATTTATGGGAAAAAATGTTATTGGAAGTAAAAGAAATTCAGTAAAAACAATAACAAGAAACCACTGTTGCCTATTAAATTAGCAAATTGATAAGACTGAATATTTGGTGAGGATTTAGGGAGATAATTTCAGATATATACATTGCTAGTATATAACATATATATATACACGCATACTTATAAATACACACACTACACTATATGTATCAATTTTAATACATATTACATACTCAAAAATTCAAACTCTTTGAACCAGTAAATAAAAATGTAAAATCTAGTAATTACAATATGCTAATCAGTGTGTTATCCACCAAAGGGGGAACTATCCAATAAACTATAGCATAGAAAAGAATATGATATAGCAATTAAAATTTGGTTTTCAGGGCCTTTTTAAAAATTACACTGGAAATTCTCATGGTATAATACGTGAAAATATAACAGAGTAATTTTAAATTATTCATTTTTAATAAGACAGTTGATTATTATAATCCTTGGAATTACTGCAATGATTTCATTATAGTTTGGCTAACACACAATTTTGGGTAAATTAGCCCAGATAATCATTATATAAAACTTAATGCTTACATAGTTGATATTTCCTCAATGTTTCAACTTTTTTAAATTTTTGGATCTATTGCCATTGCATCTGCTAGCAAATATTCATTAATACTAATTTAAAGTTGGTCATAATAAGGTTAACAAATGCTAATCAACTAATGAAATAAATAGTCCAATTTAGAAATATATAAATTAAGAACATTTAATTAGTTGTTCACTAGAACTATCAAAAACAATTCTTGACACATTTCAATCATCTGCCTTATTGAGACCTTGGGAGTATCTTTCATTAATAATAGGAAGATGAGATGCTTGTTTTGGTAACTTTAAAGAGATGATAAACCCAAGTACTAGGCTGTTTGAGAAAAGTGATTTTTAAGCAGAAGGCTTACCTTCTCCTTTCCTTTACTGTTTTATCTTAATCTTCTGAAGGGAACACTTTATAAAAGGTTGTTATGACTACTATCCTCTTACTAATGAGTTTAAACTAACAGGATAACTTGGTAAATTCTACTATGCACGAGTATCACAATAAAAGAGGTAAATAAATCACAAACATGAACGTACTCCATAAGACGTTAACTTAAAAGAGAATATTTGATGATGACAGGTAGTAAGTCAAGAAGGTAACATTTCTCCAGGATCAGAACTAAGATAAGAAAAGCATGGAATTCACTGCCCTCTGCCTTTAACTATCTTAAAAATGAAGATTGTTAGTCAAAGAAAAAAAAATTCAAAATGTAGACTCATTTGGGTCATCACTTAGTACAGAAGAAATGATAAATTTGATAATTTACAAACCAGAACTTACAAGATAAACCTCCAAAAGTTCACTCTTTACATTCGAAGTTTTATTTTGAAGCATAAAATAGCCAAATTTGCCAACTGTGTTATGAATCAGAGAGAGTTATTTCCTAGCATTATAAAATAGACTAATGAAAGAGATTTAGGGTAAGAGAATTCTCTTCTATTCTATTATTATATATGTATATTATATGTTAATATATTATAATATATTTGAAAGTCTTAGTTGACCAAGCATGTGGTAATAGTTTTAAATGATACTATTACTATTTTCATCAAACTAATGAAAGGTTATAGAAATCTACATGCTATAAACTTTGAAATAATTAAATGAGATACCGGAATGCTCCCTATTCAATAGGGAAAGAGTCAAAGGAAATCTACAAGATTGTTTTCCCTTTGGACTTGAGGAAATCATACAAGGGCTTTATCATTAAAAATCTATTTTTAAGGGGCTGTCCAATGGCGCAACAGTTAAACTCACACATTCAGCTTCAGTGGCCCAGGGCTCGCCAGTTCGGATCCCTGGTGCAGATCTACGCACCGCTTGTCAAGCCATGCTGTGGCAGGCGTCCCACATATAAAGTAGAGGAAGATGGGCATGGCTGTTAGCTTAGGGCCAATCTTCCTGAGCAAAAAGAGGAGGATTGCTGGCAGATGTTAGCTCAGGGCTAATCTTCCTCAAAAAAAAAAAAAAATCTATTTTTAATTAAAATAATCTGAGCCAATAGTTAACATTAATTATTTCAGTGTTGATTATATGGGGTTTGTTATAGTATTTTCTGTAATTTGTTTTTTAAATGCAGAGAAAGAGCTAGTGATGGCAGCTGAATAGTGTGCTACTCCTCTCCATGATTATAGCATACCTAGCACGGATGGGGGGTGGGGGAAGGAGCGAGTGAGGATAAGCTTCATATTAGCACATGATAGCATATAAATTTTTATCCTAATTGTACATAGCAATTATTTTCCTGTCATAGAGCATTTTCCTCAGAGCATGAACCACAGAGTAAAATAAGGACAATGGTTTCAGTGTCCTTTTTAAAAAACTATCCATGGTGTAATAAACAGCCTGACACTTGATATTACAGATTATTTAAATTAAAGTGAAACATTTGGCCACTGGTACGTATTCCTGCTAAACCAGAACCATAGGGCTAAATATTTTAGGAAGTACATAGATACCTCCCCAGCCCCACTCTCTCGACTAATGATTAGGACAAATGAAAAAAAAATGTAGTCAGTTATAATAAATAGTAAGGAGGAGAACTTGCACAATGAAGTCAATGAGTCTCAGAAGTAGGTGCAAACTGATGTTGATGTTATATCCATGAGAAAGTCAAAACATCCTTTGAATCAAACAGGTAGGATTAGTGTTAAGTAGATGACCAAAGTAGTCATTTGATATTATCATGGGATTAGATAAAAGACAGAAATGGATCATGGACAATGAGGAACAGAAGTAGAAATTGTGGAAGTATGTTTTTCTTTTTGCTTTGAATTCATCTGGACTAAACTTTCAGGATAAATGAACAGCAACACGATACCTAGGCAATTCAAGAAAAAGAGACGACAAAGTTCATTAACACGATATGATACTCTTATTGGAGAAGGAATGCTTATGATCTTACGATTAGTTATATAAACATTGTAGAAATCTAAAACAGAGAGATTGAGATTAAGACTAGGAAAATGAATAAAACAGGAAATTCAAATATATTCTGTCTGATAAAGAATTCAGGGCTGCTTAGTTCAGGAAGAAAAAAATGCCTCTTACCATCTATTAAAAAATATCCTCTTGCCTATTTAACTGTATTACTCTCTTGGGTAGTAACATTTTAATAAGCATCTTACCAAAAGGTTTTGGAATATATAGGTCACCAAGTTTATGCCTACACATGGCAAACAAAATCTAT